AGCAATAAAATAGAAAATCAGACCCTCTCTCTTGCCACGCCCACCTGCCACATCCTCTCTTTCAGAACTTATCAATAGTTCTCTCTGACATTTAAGTCTTATTATTTATAATCAATAGAAAGCCAAAGTTTTTCTCTATGAAATGACATATCATATTATGTTGTTGTCTGTACAGAGTACTGTCTATCTTCCTTCCAGCTCCAACTTTATTCCCATGAGAAACACATCAACAAGCTTAGTTGAATTTTTAAAGGTTTTATCGCACAAATAAAAAAGCCAGAAAAACTGTGATACTCATGGAACATCATTTCCTTTTTGCATGTTGTTATTTTGTATTCTTTGGTGCATTATTTAATTAAATAAAAATTATTTAATGCAGTAGTATGATTAGTATAAAAAAGTAGGGTTAAGTTTCATTGACAGTCAACAGAAAAAAAAAAGAAGACCCAGGTAAGTACTTTATTTCTTGTTTTTCATGTATATGCTTCATTTATTATTATAAAAGTAAGTAAAATGTAAAAACTGAAAACTTTTTAGGTTAGATAAACTAAAACAAATAATAATATTAATGATAATAATTTTTATGAGGAATGCTCACGAGTGGTCCATGCATTATGTAATTCAATACCGTAATGTGAACTACACGTTAGCCACATGATTTGCAATTTATATGCCGTGAATAGTAATTTGACATGGTGCAAAGGGCAATAACACAATAAAATTTATGTGTAAATAGATGTATACTATTACAAGCTTTAAGCTACTTATGAAATCAAGTAGTCACTTTTAAGTAATGATACTTTAAAAACAAAAGAAGACATTTCATGATTATTGGAAAAGCTGTTCATTTTATCCTCTTGCATATTGTCTTACTTTAATACTTGCTGAGGGTAAACAACATGTAGTGTACATTATAAATAATAGTCTCTCATTGAGCACACAAGTGTACTTCACTTCTTTCACAGTGATAAAAAATCATAAGGGGAAATAACATGCAGTACAAATTGTAAAGTTTTTCATTGAACAATTAACATGCTCTTTTCCACTTGCAGAAAGTAAACATTTGGTGTACATTGTAAATAAAGTTTTTCATTAACATTGAAGAGCTTTTTTTAAATTTTTTTTTGTTTATTAAATTCTACCTATGGGATCCTTGAAAATCTCACTGGAACTCTTGAACAAAAAAGTTGAAAGTCAAGGACCCTTCACTATAGGATCCTAGTGAGAACCCTGCCAACCATACAATTATGTGATCCATTTTTTAAAACCATGAGCCAACAATTATTTTATTACCCGCTGAACTGACACGTATATGGCATGTGTATACAGACAAGATTAACCATCTCTAATCAAATGTCATATTGTAACTACAATGTGAATGAAACATCAATGTTTAAACTTTACTGGCTTCAAATGTAGGACAAAAAAATTGGCAAATGCTAGATTTTATCATAAAACAAAGTAAAACAATTGCAAAATGCAATTTTGGCATAGCACAGAGAAGCCCCTGGGCCCTACTATATCCCAGGTCTACATTTTACTTCTTGCTAATTTGGTAAGTGCTTTAAGTTATGTCTTCATTTTCTTTGCAAGATTTTTCTCAAACTTCCTTTTTATTCTATTCAATGCCCTTTTATACATCAAATAATCCTGATACTACTTTGATTCCTCATATACATGTAACTTCTGTACCCTAAGTTTGTTTAATATCATTTTATTTACTTCCCTGTTCCACCATGAAGGTTTCTTGTTCTTCTTTCTTTGCTTTTTTTGGTATAATTATTTTACACTGCTTCCTCTATTTTCTGAGTATATGTGGACCACATGTCTTTCACATCTACATCTTTAAATAATAACTTCCAATCTATTTTGGACATATGTTTCCTCATGTTTTCATAATAACATCCATGATTTCATTCTACAATTTCTCATTGACCTGATATGTTTGACCAGGTGCTCTATGAAAATTGCAAATCAAAAACTTTATATCCCTGAAACACCTAATCTGTAACCCATATTGATTCAATTTTGTAGCTACCATTTGTTTTATGGCTTTAATCCAAACAGTATACATTTTATTCCTTGCATAAAAAGCCATTCCATTCCTTTTTTGAAAAAAGGGCTATCATATTTAAACAATTCGTAACCTGGAATTTCAAAATAATTCCTATTAATGATGTTTACAAATCTAACCAAGTTTCTAAATTTCCCATTATTCAATAGTCTTCCTTTTCAACTAGAGCCCTGAACTTCTCCATTTTGTTTCTGAATCTTTGTAATATTAGAATAATAGCAACTAAGCATATTATTGAATCTACTATTCAGAGACTTATCTTTAAAACTGGTACTTATCTTATGTTCTAAGTTCCCTATTTCCAAATTTCTTGTTGCTCTAGCTATCCTATGAATTTAGTTATTTCTAATCTCCTAAACTCCCTCACCATTATGGGGCTTTAAACTATCTTTAATGAATATATCTATCTTAGGCTTCCTTTCCTCAAACATCTACTTCCTAACCTGCTTTAGCCCAGGGTAAGTTTTCAACTTCCTTCATTGTTTTCTTTTGGTAGTTTTGAGTTTCTTTAGCAGACTCTAATAATCAAAAGTATCCCAGCTATTCACTAACTCTTGATGAACTATGAAAGTACTTGCCAGGTCTTTCCTCAGTTTCTTAATTCTAGAAGCATCTCATTAATATCATGTAGAAGGTTTTCAGAAACTTTTTGTATTGGCTTTACTGCTCAAGCTCCTTATATATGCATTTTGATTAGTGGTACATACAATAATTATTAAATGCTATTGAGCAAAAGTTCAAAACACAAAAGATCCTGTACTGCTTAGGTGCAACCTAAAACTTTTAAAGACAAAGAATTATATATACATGCAGAACCTTGTGAAAGCTTTTAAAGTCACATTTTAAATGTTTACAAGTCACTGACTAGCAGAAAAATTACTGATGACTACCAATTCATCTCCAACAATTGAATTAAAAACAAATCTTTAAAGAGGATTCTGAGAGCTAGGGCCATAGTATACCTACTGTTGTTTTGGTATCAATATCTACTGTCAAATATTTCTCCAAGTAATGAAAAAACATTTCTAAGTGAGAAATAATGATGGAACTTTAACAATCAACAACTTGATGGGAATAACCTGTAAATATGATAGTTAGACAATAACAGTACATATATCATAACTAACACACAGTGAAGCTCCAAAACCCATTAGGTTGATTTAACCTCTAAGCAATGTAGCCTGGGAGTCTTGTAAATTCCAGTCTCTGAGGATGAAGAAAGAAAGTCATTACATGGCAAGAAATCAATGTTGTATTGATGCTCATTTGTATTTACAGTTGGGCTATTACATAAATATTGTGATTACTATGAAAACCAATCAAACATTTTTAATGAAAGTTTATAAAATTGATATTTTATACATTTTTTCCCTCCATTTTAACCAAGGTCCATTATTATATAAATAACATTGATGTGTAAAAATTGCATATTCCCATACATTTCTTTGATGATATTATAACTTCTTATAAGGTCCTACTATTTAATGACAGAAAAGTAAAAGTCAGTTTACCTACTGCACTTCAGTGCTAAGACTTTACTTTGGATAAAAAAAACAACCCAAGATGAGTAAGATAAAACTCACTATAATAGTACCTTACATCAAGGTGGCAAAACACTAAAGTATTTCCAATTGGTGTAAGATTTGTGGTTGTAACATCAATAGTGGATGGTATTGCAAGTATACCACCAACTTTATAACCCTGTGTGCCATACACTTCCAAAATTTTTGTGCCTGTTTCAAGAACTGTTCTATTGCTAATGCTGTGTTACTACTTATGAAAGTTCTCTTTATGTTACTACTATTCATACAGGTGTTTCTAGGAACCATCACTGCCTGAAATAGTAATCTGTCTACAATTTTAGCCAATGGGAAAGCTTCTTATCCATCCTTGAAATTTTATTCCTAATGCAGTGACATGGTAAATAGCCATTAAAAGCTTCAACATATGGAAAAATTTAGTTTATATAATTCAATTAAACTGTTCAACAAAAAGAGATTTTCTTATTCATTACACTTGAAATTTTGTGACATTTGCATTTTATTTACTGGCATGAGGTACAAGAAGGGTAATAGTTTGTTTTTTTATTCAGATAAGGTTAGTTCTTTTATCTAACAGGTTTCTCTTTTGTTTTGGCCTTTGGAAATATTTGTTTCATTTAAACATATTTTAACTCAAACTTATATTTCATTTTAGAGCACCTTACATTTAAAACCTTCCAGTTTCAATGGACTTAAGCAGACTTTAGGTATGTGCTTTTTTTCCATCATAAGTGCAGTTAATTTTCTGGTGAACAACAAACTTATGGGGTCACCCCCTGGTAAAGTATAATTTCATATTAATTCATTAAATTTTCCCATTATAGTCTTGACTCTAACCTTATTCTTATTGAATTTTATGAAATTATAAATAAAATTGGGTAGCATAAATAAGAAAGTTTCAATTTAATAGAAATTCTCTAAACACATCTCAAAGTGTATTTTACCAATCAATAATGATAAAAAGAGTTAGCATAAAGGATCACATATAGTGTAATAGACTTAAAGTAAGACCCAAAACTCGAGCACTTTCGAATAGTTGACTATTCTTCTTCAGGAGTACAAAGAATAGTCAACTATTCGAAAGCACTCGAGTTTTGGGTCTTATTTTAAGTCTATTACCAATCAATAATATAGCATTCACTTTAATCTTAATGCTTGCAAGATTCTAAACCATTTACGGTTAATTCTTGTTCAGTAAGTTCTTTGATTACTACATTAGTAGCACTTTCAAATTAATTTATAATTGCTAGTAGTATAGTATTATCATCCAGCTATGATTATAGTTTACACCTAAGATTTAATCCAGCAAAATGCAGCTTAATAAATTTCCATCTTAACTTTTACAGACTCATTTATTAACTGCAAATACTATATATGTTTGTTACCTGTGGCATTTGCTGTAGTTTTGATGTATCGTACTTGTGACAGGGTTGGTTCAATTTCTCCTATTTCATTTGGGTGAGGCTTAAATACAAGTTCAATTTCATTCTGTGGGCTTTCAGATGTTTCAGAGTCAATGTCATTACCTATCCCTACAGTTTCACTAGGTTCTGCCAGCTGTATCCCATTGCTCATTGTTTCTTGTTCTACCTCAGATCCACCCGATTCATTTTCCACTTCTGACTGGCCACGTGTTTTTTTCCGGGGATTTCCATTTGCTGTATCACTAGAACTACCAGGTGTTGGTGTTTGTCTAGCACTTAAGCTACCTGTTGGGGTACCTGCAATGGAATTTGGCATACTATTACTATTTTCTTCTGGAACACTTTTTCTGACTCTCTGTCCTCGGTTCATTTGCTGAATTCTCATTCCTTCTTCAATGCTATGTGCAAGGGCTGTTTTATTTAACTTTGCCAGTACACGTTCTTGATGGGCTTCGTATTCTTCTCTACTTGGATAAATTTTTGAAATTAACATATCAAAATTAGGATCAGGGCGTAAAGAACGTTTAGATACCAGTTTTTTACGACAGGTTGGACATTCTTTATTTCCACTCCTCAGTGCTGTTATGATGCATTCTTGGCAAAACCGATGAAGGCATTCTTTCGTAGTCATTGTATTCTTCAACATATCAAGACATATTGGACACATAAGTTCACTATGCAAACTTCTTGGAGAAACTGCTATTTCGGTGTTGTCTGTAATGACTTCTTGTGAAGTTCTGTTAAGTTCATATAGGCTTAATTCCCATGTCCTGTTCGTGGTCTGGGTATCTAAAGCCATTTTCCCTCACACTGAGTGTTATGATTAATATTACGTAACTCGTTAGATTTAACTGCAACTTACAACTTTTAATTTTATAATTTATGTGAAAATTTCGACATTCAAAGCATGAAACAACACAGCTTCTTCGTATTCAATTTTAAAGCATTAAGCCTACAATAATATTTTATACCTACGTCACGATCTTACTTATTAATATAAAGAGGCAAGGGTGAAACGATGTAAAAATTATATACTTCGATGAATTACTACTTGTGACAAGCTTTAAGCTTCTACATGTACCGTAATTTAGGATTTATACTCTTCAAGATAACCAATTCAATACTTCATAGATGTAGAAACTAACGTTTCCTCTCAAAAAAGTTTGAAACCCTAGTGCCGTGCTTTAAAATCAAGATAAAATCCTGGAAATAAACTAATAAGTCTGAAGCTATTATACTTTATTCAAAACTATTTTTACATATAAATCTCGAGCATTTACTCTGTTTTCCTACAAATAAAATCCATTCAATAAATTTTTGATATTGAGTATAAAAATATATGAAAATTATAAAGTAACACATAAAATTTTAGTGAAATTGTAATTACTACAATTATATACTTTTAGCCCTTAATGTAAATACACTCATATGTAGAATTTCTCCCGGTGATCCAGCTAAAATTCAGATTTCGATTCCCACGGTGAGCGGAGCACATATATAGCCCATTAATTGTGTAAATTTGTGCTCAAATACAATGTGTAAAATTAATCATCTTTTACTTTTCATTAAAAGATACAAAGTTTAAGATAAATATTCTTAAAGAAAACATAATGTGTAAGTTTGTTTGTAGTTAAGCACAAAGCTGCAAAAGAGGCTATTTGTGTTCTGCTCATCATGGGTATCGAAACCCAGTTTCTAGCTTTGTAAGTCCGGAGACATACCGTTGTGCCACTCGGGGACAACGTATAAGGAAGTTCCTTGTAATTACAAATTATTTAGAATAGCTTTATATGTAACAATAATTATAATTTTGTCGCTAAAAGTTTACAGGGGATAGTTTAACTGTGCAATATTTCTGTGAAACAAGAACAGTTTCTCTAAAATTTTCAAATAAACTATGTTATCCCAAATCGTTATATCATCTGTGACAAAAAAAAAGTCTAAAAGCTAACCTTCATTTTTCATATAGATTACAAGAGTTTGTGATTAAAAGTTAAGAAGAATGTAACGATATATTAATCACGCTATATTTCATATATATTGTTACGTCTCCGTTTGTTAATTAACTTTCCGTAACTTCGTTCCGACGAAACTTAAGCGACACAAGTCTTTACTTAATAAAACTGATTTATTCTTTCCGAATATAACTTTACCGTATACACTCAACTT